AGTTCAATTTGTATTTTTCCCCAACCAAAAGTTGTGTTACTTTTTCAGATCTTTTTTGTTATTTTGTTTGTAAATGGTTTAAAACAAAGTTTTAACTAACTTTGACAACCAATTAAAAGCATATGTTGACAATCACTGTTGCACCAGTCACTCCTCCAGAGAAATTCACTAAACGAATGGAAAAGAGACAAACACATTGCAAGACGTTGGATTCCATATAGAGGCTTCCAGCACAAAGAAGATTTCCACATTCAGCTTTTCCACCCTCCTTATTACATGCAGCATCTAGTGCCATAAAATTCACCACCCAATAACCAAAATCCTACCAAAACCTGAACTATCTATGCCTATACACAAAGTCTACAACCCTGAAAGTTGAGATATGCACCCAACGCATTCACCAAACAAAAGATAACCACCACTCCTTATGGACTAATAACCAATGTGTATTTCAATGCAATAGTTGCACATTATTTGGTTTATCTAATCTAATTGGCATGTTTTTGTTCATAAGTAATGGGATTATGTAATGCACATTTGACATGTCCACTTGTGCAATACAAGCCTTAAACTATCATTCTGTTGTTATTCTCAATCATCAACTTTTTTATAACCTATATATACTAAAAATTCCTTCTTACCTGTTTTTCCATTCAGAACTTGTGGCCAGGGAAGCTGCCCTCTTATCTTTTCTGCATCTAAAGTACAATATAACATGATTTTACTTTAAGAAGTGGGAGAATCTCAGCCATTAGCTTATAAAGTTTCTTCCCCAAATCAGAAGCAGGAAATGCTCATGTATGATCAATATCACACAAATGGGACGTGCTCAAAGGTGATATTGTAATCTCTTCAATTTCCCACATACTAAAAACAGCCCTGAGGCTCCAAACTTCAAAGGTGTACATAACAGTAAGCTTGAAAAGAGCATTATGTACTTTCCAATTGTTAAGGGGTGTTTATCCTACAGGTATGTAGTTCATATTCCTAGGGGAATTAACTAATTGGCCCCAGGCCCACATGCCATGCCTGGCTTGATGTTGACAGACATTTAGTTGACACTTGATCATACGTTTTATTCCTTTGTTTGCCTTTTATTCCTTTGTTTGTGTTTTATTCCTTTTATTTGCTTTGCCCTCCCTCCCACCCTGGGGCTTTCCTCGAACCCTCAGGGGCTCCTCGTTTCTTCCTCGTTTTCTCAGTCTTAAATGAGCTCATCACAACCTTGGAAATGTCTCACAATGTTTGTTCATTTGTTTTGGGAAAGCTGGAGAAATTCCATATATCTTACATAGAATATTGAAATTAACAAGAATACAATCATCTTAAAGGGAACATATTGAAGGAAAGGTCAATCCAATTAAGGAGACACGAAACAGTGGAACACTTTACAATTAAATTTGTTACCTATCAAAAACAAATAATTTATCTATGTCAAATTATTTAGCCTAAATTGTAACCTTGATCTGCTTCTCAAATTGTTAACAGCAAATCTGACTACATAAATGTGTTGTAGTTCAATTTTATCCTCTGGTTTAATTTTTTCCAAACCAGTTCAATTTTATTGAACCAGTTTAATTTTTTTTAAACCAGTTTTTTTTATCAACTGTCTGAAAAAGAACCTTTTGGGGTGTGGATGAAAAATAGGGACATGGCTTTTGAGGGGGGTTTGAAAAAGAATCAAATGAAAGATGAAAGAGAAGACAGCTGAAGATTTCCCTGCGATTTCTCATCCGCTTATTCTCTTTTATAACTCATCATCCACACAATTTTCCTTGAGAATATAACCTACCCCACCCCACAGGATCTTTTATATTTCCCACTTAATTTACTTCCAATTCACCCCTATAATACTTCTTTTTATTCTTTTATATCACTCTTACCACGATTTGAACCACCAACCTCTAGCTTTGCAGACATCCATTCTCTCCATTAGTCCACACTGCATGTCGTTGACAAACATGTTTGTTAGATATTTGTTGGTCTTATCAGTAATTAGCCCCAGACCTCCCTCCCCTCGGCCAAACTTGTTCTTGAAGTATTCATAAAGAAAAAAAATTCACATTTGGTAGAAACCGGGACTTCAAGCTCGAAACATGACTGAACCTCATGTACAATGTGTACCAAGAGAAATATTTTACGAAGAGTTGAATGCCTTAAAAAATAAACAGGCCAAAAAGGCTTCCCGAATTTTGAACAGTGCAGAACAAAACTACTCTCAAATTAAACGCAGATCTTTAGCCATTGTTTTTGGAGTCACCAAGTTCTGTCAGTACTTGCTTGGAAGACATTTCAAACTCTTGACTGACCACAAATCTTTGATTACCCTACTGGGTAAACCAGATCAAGATGGCAGTAAGAACTGTTTTTAATCTGAAAGAAGACCTCGTGTACAATACCAAATATGGAGAACAGGTCTCATGACACTAGCTTCTACGTAGAACAGGGAACCCAAAAATAGGGAAACTCTAACAACCCCGAACAGGTATTTCAACCCTATTACATCAAACGACTCAACCTTTCCCATAAAGATGGCATTTTACTATGGAACTCTCATGTTGTGATACCAGAGTCAATAAGTACCATCCTACTCAAAGACCTGCATGCCGAACACCTTGGTATGGTTAAAATGAAGCAACTAGCGCGGAAGTATTTATGGTGGCCTGGACTGGACAAAGAAATAGAGGGAACTGTCGAGTTGTGTACAGCTTGTCAGGAAGCGGCTAAAGCACCAGCATCATCCCAACTTGCCTTGTGGTCATGGCCAGGGGGACCATGGAAGTTCCTCCACTTAGACTTTGCTGGTCCCTAACTAGGAAAAACGTTCCTTGTGGTAGTGGATGCTTACTCTAAATTTTTAGAAGTAATACCAATGTCACATGCCACTTCTGCTAATCCCACTGCTGCTCTGAGGCATGTTTTCAGCTACTTTTTTTTTACTGGAAAAGCTGGAAAAAGTCAAAAGATGAAGGGATGTCTGTCAGCATTTTATCTACTGACATGTCACTGAGCATTTGACTTGGTTCATCGGCCTCTATTGTTAAGTAAACTCAAGTCTTATGGTTTTAATGACAGCTTCGTTAATATGCTAAATAGTTATCTGAGCGATCGCTATAACAGAGTCAGGCTGGGATCTTCTGTAACTAGTGGTTGGAAAAGTGTTGTTCGTGGCTGTCTTCAAGGTTCCTCTTTAGGCCCACTGATTTGGAACATCTTTCAGAACGATCTTGTGTATAACATTGATGCCAATATTTCGATGTACACTGATGATAATCAAATATATCAAAAAGGCAAAGGAATCAGCATAGTCCATACCAAGTTAGAAGAAAGTGCCAGTAGTGCAACTGACTGGTACGAAAACAATATCTTGGAGGGTAATTTGAAGAAATATCAGACTTTGCACATTAAACACAAATATGGTCATAATAAGGAAAAGTTCAGTAGTGCAGAACATAATATTAACCTGAACCTGAATGGCAAGATTATCAGGACCTCTGACTAGTTGAAAATCTTGTCAGTCAGAAAAGACAATAAGCTAAATTTCAGTGCACACATCAATGACCTATGTAACAAAGCTAGTATAAGGGTTGGAGTAAGTATGAGATTGAGAAATCTAATTCCCACCACAGCAAAGTTAGTACTTTTTAAATCAACTATCTTGCCATATTTAACATATTGCCACCTTGTTTGGCATTTTTGTAGGGCTAGCGACACTCGTAGACAAGAAAGAATCCAGGAACGGGGACTGAAAACCATGTACAAGGACACCAAGTCCAGTTATCATCAGTTATTGAACAGGGCTAACTCGCCTACATTGTTGAATAGACGTCTTCAAGACATATGCGTCCTAATGTATAAGGTTAAACACACTAATATCTGTTCTGAAGCCATCACCAATATTTTTAAACCTCATGATTCATGCTACAGTTTAAGAAATTCAGAGTTTCTCATACCCAGGTTTAACAGTTTCATTTGGTAAGCATTCCCTTCAATATTTAGGTCCTATTCTGTGGAGTAAGCTAGTCAAAAGTGATAAAACACGTGAATCATTAAGTGATTTTAGAAACCAAATACATAATAGGGATTTGACATCAATTGTTGATGATGGATGCAGAGGATGTTCTCTGTGTAATAGTTGATGTCTCATTGGAAAAAATAATAATAATATTTTATAATAACAATTTTAGCATTTAGCATCTAGTATTCTAGCTAAATATTGTATTATATTTAATGGATTGTACTTAGTAATTATTTTATCCTATTAATTATAAGTGTCCCCTATTAGTAGAGGGCTTGCCCCTCGGCTAGCTTATTTTCCTGACACTTAAATAAAGTTTCTACCTATCTATCTATTTCAGTTTACCTGAACATCTTGTAACTGATAATGGCAGCCAATTCACCAGTGCAGAATTCCAGAAATTTCTCAAGGATAATGATATATGTTGTGGTTCAAATTTTACCTTTGGTTTGAATTTTTTAAACCAGTTTAAGTTTTTCAAACTGGTTTGAAATTTTTAAACCAGTTCTATTATCAACTGTCTGACAAAGGGCCTTCCTTTATTGGGGTGTGGTTGAAAAATTGGGGCTTGGCTTTTTGGGGGGGTTGTTAAAAAGAATTTGTGCTTATAAGAAAATTTCGTTATTCAGTTTTTTTTTAAGTTCAACAAACCACCCCTCCCTCCTTATACTGTCATTCCCTTCCTGAATGTACTTTTTCCAAACCCCTCTCGTTACCTTTTGTCTAACCCCCCACAACATCTAACTATACCTTTTTCCCTTTCTTTATATCTCTTAGTACTCACCAGGGTTTTAACTCCCAACCTTTGGATTTGCAGTACTCTTCCTTATCCACTTGACCACACAAGCAATCATTGCAATTTCACTCTTATTTCTTTCTGTTATTATTACCCATTCGTCCCAGGCTCCTCTCCATCAAAATCGTAATTTATCCATACTGCATATATTAAACAAATCTGCACATGCCCATTTCTAGCAAGTGAAGCATGGAGGCCTTGGAGAAAATTGCCAATTGTGTTTCTAAAGAAACGTTTGAAGCCAAAATTAAAGGCTTAAAAGAGTCTTTAAACACAAACAAATCATCAGTAAATGTGTTTGTAGAAGAAGAGTTCTACCATCGAGTGAAGAATTATCTCAAAGTAGTCATAGAACAAGAGCTTGACATTGCACCTTCGATCAAAACACCAGAGCTTTCAAAGGCAGAAATCAACACCTTCAAGTGAAAAAAGTGGAAATATACAAATGGAAAGTTATTAACCTCAGAAGGGAAAGAAGTTGCACCTAAAGGAATGCTCTTTGATATACTTTCTAAATGCCATAATAGAATTGCTCACAGAGGACGACAAAAAACTGAGAAATGGATTGCTGAGAATTACTCCGAAGTAACAGAAAGTTGTGAATACTTTTGTTTCTCTTTGCCGTTTTCACGCATAACCGCCACAGTGAAACCCGTGGTAAGTCCTCTTCAAGCTGAAACATTCCTTTCCTTGATAGAAGTTGATCTTATGGATTTCAGAAATTGCCCATGTGAATGTGAACCAAAGCACAAGTGGACTTTAAATATTATTGATTACCACACAAAGTTTGTTAATGTTCACCCCATCCACAACAAACTTGCTGATGAAGTACTGAATGAAGTTCAAAAGTATTGTTTAACTTATGGCTACCCCAAAAAAATTTTAACAGATAATGGAGGTGAATTTGAAAACAATAAAATGAAAGCATTTTGTTGCACTTATCAGATCCAACTTCTCCATGGAGCAGCCAGGACTCCAACAACTCAAGGGCTAGTAGAACGGTCAAATCATACATTCAAAGAAAACATGAGAAGCATGATAATGAGCACATCTGGTCTCCAAATTTCCAAATGGTGCAAGTACACAATGCAAGCATCCTACATCATGAACATTACTTATCATCGTGCTATCAACATGACACCATATGAAGCAGTGTTTCACATGATGGCCAAAAGGGAACTATTAGACCATGATCTTGAAGAAGACCAAGGAAAGCAGAAAAGAAACAAATTCAAGAAGCACAGGAAAGCTACAATACCAAAATGATAAAACAGTCTGAAGCAAATCCAAGAAAGAAAGTGTACAAAGTTCATGACATGGTTTCAATTAAAATAGATAGAGTGGACAAGAAATCTCCTTTCCACCCAAATTTACTTCTGGGAAAAGTGCTTGAATTTGAAAATAATTATGTGAAAGTGGTGACACCTTTTGGTTGCATTAAAGGGTTCATTGCCCCTTCCAGACTTTTCCCATGTACAGCACCAAATGTAAAACTTGATTACGAAAAAGAAACTTCTTTCACTAGTGCATGTAAATTCGCCGAAAATGCTCAATAATAACTTCAATGTTTTCTTGACTTTGTTAGTTAAATGGTAGATGAATTGTAAATATTCTATTTTGTTGTGCTGCAAGTAAAATATTTTACAGGTCTGGAGTGCCAAAAAATGAATATTTAATGTTGTCACCAGAGCCAAGTATTTCTCATTTGATTAAGGGCTTGTATGAAATCGTACCCTAACCCAAACCATTCAAACAAAGCACTTAACCCCAGTAACAAAACTGGGTGCCAAATGCTACCCCTAACCTTACACAAAAGCTAACCATTTGAAATAAATGCTTAACCCTAATCACTAAAATGACTAAAATTTGAGTTTATTTTACACCGTATTTTACAAGGAGAGGTACAAATAAATAAGAACGAGTTAAGTTTAAAAATTACTAACCAGTTTGAAAATTTTAAAACAGTTTGAAAAATTTAACTGGTTTAAAAAAATTCAAACCAAAGATTAAATTTGAACCAAACATATACACCATACTTTTACAGCTCCTGGGCACCCTGCAACAAATGGGCTAGCAGAACGTTATGCTGGAGAATTCAAAGATAAGCTGAACAAGATTGGTGATACAGGCAAGCCCTTAAGGCAAAACTAGATCGGTTCTTATTGACACACAGGGCCATGCCTACTTCATTTGGCAATTCACATTCTGAATTACTCATGACCAGACAACCTAGAATTAGACTCAGTGCTTTAAGTAAGAGCACTAAACAAGAAGTTAAAGTTTTTCAAGATAACCTGGACAACAAGCCAAAGTTTATGCCTGACCAGCCAGTTTTCATGCGTAGTTTCAGGAAAGGAGCAAAATGGGTATCTGGAAGGATTGCAGGAACAGTCAGTCCTAGAATTGCAATGTCCAAGTCGGAGACACTCTATGGAAACGACACGAGGAACAGCTTCACCCAAGATTCATACCCACAACACAATGTTCCAAGCTGCTTCGTGAAGCTTAGACACTAGAGTTCGTGGAGATGTTACCACCAGAACTAAATAATGTCCCCATTACACTGACACACCCAACAACTACAGAAAGGGAGAAAGGAAAAACCACACTACAAAGGGACATTCCAGCTTTGAATTCTTAGCCTGAAGTTACTCTGAAACCTCAGGACCTGTCCATCCAAGATTCTAACCCTCCAGAACCTTTACCTGAGGAGTCAGAGCGAAGATACCCTGTCAGGGAACAAAAACCACCTCAGAGATGTTAATGAACTGAGTGAACATTTAGTACAAACTAGTTTTGAGATTTTTTTTATGCTGATATTTGTTAAGTTCCACTATTCAGTTTCAAATCACCCTTGCTGTACTTCAAAAGGGGGGCATTAATTTTGTTATATCTAATGAATATCCATGTAAGTCAGCACATGCTCAGTTGAGCATTCTTTTGCCATGTGCTCCGCTCAGTTCAACATACTGAATTAAATTGTTGAGTTCTACAGTATCATTTACATGTTTCCTCCCGGTTATTCAAACCCCTCGACACTACACCAACCTAGAAAATTTAAAGTTGGAGACAATGTCTCTATAAAAATTGACCATGTCGACAAGACATCACCTCTGCATTCAAATCTTCTTCTGGGAAAAATCGAAGAAATTGCAAACACCTGTGCATGTGTTGGAACCAAATTTGGTAGAATAAACACATTAATTTCACCCACCCGTTTAAATCCTTGCACAGCTACTACTTGTAATGTTTTGATATTATTCTACCAGAAGTTGTCCCAGCGGAAGTTCTAAGACATTGCAAAGGATCATGGATATTTGTATGGGCCATGCTTTCCGGTTGTCATGGCGGATGAATAAAGACTAGTTTCATTTTATAGTTTAATCTGGGTTATTGTGCGGCCATCCAAGTGACATCGTTACATTGGCGACAAGGATTCAATTCGTTTTGTAAGGTAAGGGATATTTTTGGAAGTCATTTGTGCGGAAAGTCTTGGCATTTTCTCAGAAGATGGTGGACAGTGAAACCAGAATGGGGACAAATGCCAGTTTCATCTTCCCAAGCTGACATTTTTCGGTCATGACCTAAGCAGGCAAGGTGTTGCACCCAGTTCAGAGAAAGTAGCTGCCATCTTAAAGGCAAGCCCTCCACAAGATGCTTCACAGGTCAGATCATTTGTTCAGTTTGTACAGTATTCTGCAAAGTTTCTTCCCAACTTCGCACAAGAAGCAGAACCACTCAGGAGCCTCCTGAGGAAGAATGAGCCTTTCATCTGGGGTGAAACACAGGAAAAGTCCTTCAAGAAGTTGGAACAGCTTGTTGCACAGGCCACTTCGTTTGCATATTTCAGGGGAGACTGTAACACGCGCATTATTGCCAATGCAGGTCCACAGGGTTTGGGTGCGGAGCTGACTCAATTTCAAGACAGTGAGTGGCGAGCAATCTCATATGCGTCCAGGAACCTCACCGAAGTGGAACGGAGATACAGCCAGACCAAGGAGGAGGCCCTTGCCCTTGTATGGGCTTGTGAGAGGTTCAACATTTATGTGTACCGGCGGAAATTTGAACTTGAAACTGATCACAAGCCACTCGAATGTATTTTTGGCAAGCTTTCCAAACCATCAGCACGTATTGAACGATGGGTTCTGAGACTACAGGGGTATGACTATAGCGTGGTTTATCGGCCTGGCAAAGCGAACATTGCAGACTCTCTCTCGAGACTCAATCAATATGAACCTAAAGACTCAAGTGGGGAGGAATTTGACTTTGTCAAGGCAGTCGCCGAGGAAAAGTTTACCTGTTGCTCTGACAGAGAAACAAGTCGAATTGGCTTCTGAAAGTGACCCAGAACTTGCAAGCATGAGACAGTACATTTTAGGTGGGGACTGGTCTCAGTGTAAGATGACAGCTTATGTGTGTGTCAAGGATGAATTGTGTGTTGGGCAAACTTGTTTTGCATGGCACAAGAATTGTTGTTCCAAAGGCTTTACTAGCGGAAGTTCTAAGACATTGCAAAGGATCATGGATATTTATATGGGCCATGCTTTCTGGTTGTCATGGCAGATGAATAAAGACTAGTTTCGTTTTATAGTTTAATCTGGGTTATTGCGCAGCCATCCAAGTGACATCGTTACACTACTCAGAACATTGAACTTGATTACACTACTGAGCTGACATTTTCTGTAGCGTGCAAGAAAGCTATTTAATCTATGTAAAGAATTTGCCAAGTAATACTTATTACGAGGTTCTGTCAGTTAATCATTTTGTTTCAAGAAGTAAAAAACCCATTTCTGTGTACCAATACTGGTGTTGTTTGTTTGACTGGCTGGAAAAGCATTGGGAACCATCCCTAACCCTAACCAGTAAAAGGAGTGCTTAACACTAATCAGTGAAATGAATGCTCAACCCTAATCAGTAAAAGGAGTGCTTAACCCTAATCAGTAAAATTGAACTGGTTTGGACAAAATTAAACTAGAGGATAAAATTGAACTACAACATGTGGATAAGTGATCTCTTGTTCTATAAATTGAAGTAATTAGGAAATTTGATAAATTTTGAAATTACATGCAGTCACCATCATAAGTTGTCAGCATAAGCGATCACCTTTCTCTGCCTCTCCAACAGAAATGTCAAGACTACTGTCAAAGTAGGCCATTGGGTGTTCTCCAAATCAATCAACACCTGAGCAACCCTCCATCGTCTGCAGTTTTTTTCTTACTCTATTAAAAGCAGATTAAACTTTCTGCAATTATGACATCTGGTCATCTGTACAGAGGTCTCTGAAAATGACAAAAAGTAATACAGTGACTGAGGGGATTAAAAAATGGAAAGGTTATCTCCATTTTGCTCCTTTATTATACCATCTGAGAATTTCTTTCAAATCACTTTATGCCAAAGGTTAACATTGACCCTAGCTCCACTTGAAATATCTGGGTGACAAAAGGCTAGGAAATGAAATTTGACTCACCCTGAAGCTGCTGAGTGACATGTCTATCCTACAGGCATCAATTAAGTGTTTAACATCTTGCAAGAAGAGTGCCTACTCCTTCATTTCAGCATTAAGGCCCACAAAAATAAGCTTTGAATGTCATCACCAAAGCAGGGAACTCCCTCCTTTGCCAAGGTCAACTGTTGGCTGCTTGCTAGAAATGAAACTTTAATTTTAGTTCATGTTACAATGTTAATTTTACATTAAATAAGTTACAAAAATAAACAACAAAAATTTAATTGCAAAGTACTCAGGTAATTCACTGTGACATCTGAGTAACCAGTTCACTTTTAATGTGGAGGGTAAGAATGGCAGGGATGTAAAGGAAATCAATTTTAAGTAGGGTGCAATATCTAAGGCCAACAAGTAAGAAAAAAGACTTACCCAAGTACACTTCCTGGAAAATAGCTGAACAATTGTGCCAGTCACATAGCTAGCTTTAGCAAGATCAGTGAAAAATGCCTTGAAATTTTCTTACCTCAGAAATAACACTTCATCTTCTCTGCTGCGAATAGCTTTGTGCCAGGTTATGAAGGCATTCCTGGCCAAGACCATTGCATCCAACTGAAATGATAGAAGAGCCATGAACTAAGTGAAAGGTATGCCAAAATGCCCCAAATAGTCCATATTCTCAAGGGGAAACATTGAGACAGTGAACAAACTAGCATGATCTGTTCTTTTTGTTCCATACCTTTACATTGCGAGTAAAGATATAAACCACCACCACGCTAAAAAAAAGTGATAACAAATTTTGCTTATCAAGGTTTGTGGGTTATAGAATCGGGCACTAGAGACAAAAAGGTCATTCAGCTTCGTGAGGGAGAGAAATTTGCCACGACTGGATACCACTATGATTAAAAAATATATATTTGCAGCAGGTTTGCGCACCTCTGGTGCAGCTGCAGATGTAGGAGTTGTGGAGTTGGAAGATTCCCAAACACCTCACGGAAAAAGAGAACTCTAATAACGTCAACCAAGAAAACAAAACCACCGATGGCTAGGTTCTGTGTAGTCTCTGGCACGTCAAATGTATGAAACACTTCATCGGTAGAAAAATCTATGGAATATAACGAAGACAAAGAGGGAAGATAAGTAGCGAGCCGCGGCCGCACCGTAAAAGTATCATAACCAACTCAAATAGAGATTTGGTTGGATTAAGACAACAATTGCGAGTGATTTACAAGAAAAATGGCTCCTCACCGCTTTTAAAGCTTGGTTTCCTCCGAAACAAAACCGAAGCTATTGTGATTCTTTTCCATTCACTCTCATAGAAAAAACAGATCGCACTCGTTTTCCCATGGTCAACCAGGTCCTCGCACAAATTGCTGGGTTAACAGTGCCTTCCTCAGACTTGTGATCATCATTCCCTCGATAAAACAGACGATGAAGAATTACACCACGCATCCAAACGTTATGTAGAAGGCAACGAACGGGAGAATTCAACTTCCTCGTTCACCATTCAAAGGTGAAACGTGAAATCCTCGATCACAAGTGCGCACCTCTACTCTAAGTGCGCGGTTTCGCGCCACAAGCACGCACGCGTGCGTCCACTTAATTCCCGTAATACCTTGCGTTAACAGATTTTCTAGAATGAATCGAAGATCCGCTTTGTTTTGGAAGGAAATGGAATAAAACTGGAATACAACTAAATTTGGGGGAAAAAAAATTCTTAAAAAGGATCACCCAACGTAAAAAGGACCATAATTACCTTGAATTTCAAACGACTCAGTCCACTAAGGTATACCTCAGTTCACAAGTATCTTAATATAAAATATCAGATAATACTCGATTTGCCTTGGCCGCCAAGACTTTAAAGCAAAGCTACTGCATGTCTACATCTGATAACTTTAACTTTTTCATGCAAATGTTGTAGAAAAGATACAGAGAAAAAAATAGTATTTTATCGGAGTATTCTGACCAATTAAGCTCTAATCTTGCAAAGCTCGATCTCGGTTTTGAGATGTTTTTCTTTCCAACATTTTTATGTATTGAATCATTTCATGGCACGATCTAGAGTAAATTTAAAGAAAAATTTTACAAAAGAAGAAAAGAAGTTGGTTCCGGCAGGGCTCGAACCTGCGACCTTCCGCGTGTAAAGCGGACGTGATAACCACTACACTACGAAACCCCGCACGAATATACAATGAAAATTTTATATATTTAAACAATATGTTATTAAAACAATGACGTCACTGGCA